AGGGGGCCAAAAATACCATACGAACGACAAGAAAACCTTACCTTCCCTTTTACTATTTCCTCTGCTGTCTCTTTTTACGCGAACATCGAAGAAAGTATTGCATGTTTGGTATCAAAATGACGGGCAAACTTGTTTACTTTCAGCAAATTTGAGTTTTGGCGCCTTTGGACTAACCCAAGGACCGCTCGGAGGCATTTTTCGACAGGCATTTAACTCAGTTCCAGTCTTCTCTAAGAAACACACGGTCACAGACGCCATATTAGTGGACAATGATTGTTCCGCTTCATAGCGCGCGCCAGCCCGGCGTGTCATTTAACGATCACCGGTTACAACTGTTGCCGTATATTCTAAGTTAATTTTGCAGAGTAGATCCATAGGTTTAACACGGTATCACCTTGATTTCATTTAGGAGTTTTCGATTCAACTGAGCTAATTGATGGAATATGCCAATTGTACAAAACTCGGGAGGGATGGCTTTCACCGTTTCCATGGTGCGAAGAGTTTCAGTTTTTTGTGGGTGATATTTTTACAAGGCTCAAAGTTGTTAGAAGAAAGAAGACGAGAGGAGTCATCACTGACAAAATCATTACCATGTCGTCTCTCTTGAATCCACACGAAGAGTGTTCAGAACCGAGAACAGTGCTAATCGAAGGAAAACCCGGAATGGGTAAAACCACCTATTGTAAAAAGTGTGTCTACGACTGGGCTACAAAAGAAAATTTCCCTCAGGATTGCGTCTCAAGCATGAAAGCAGTGCTGTTCCTTAAATGTCGTGATATCAAGTCCGGTATTTGGGAAGCCATTGATGATCAACTTCTGCCACAAGATCTCGAGGAAGGAGTCAAAGAGCAATTCTTCCAGTTTATTCGTGACAACCAATCCAGCATTTTATTGATATTAGATGGATTGGATGAGTTACCGTCCAGTAACGTGCCATGGATTTCAGAACTAATTGAGGGAAGACTGCTTCCGAAGTGTTACATAGTAGCAACTGCACGACACGAAGCCGGAGTAAAGGTAAGAAAGTGCTGTGACACCTTGCTTGAGGTGGAAGGATTTACTGAAGCGCAAGCCCAAGAATTTATCGCCAAGTACTTCAGGGAAAAGTCGGAATTAGCCGAAAAGCTCTCGGTACGAATATCTCGTGATGGAAACCTTGCAGAAATGTGTGCTAATCCATTGAACGCAGCCCTGCTGTGCCTTTTGTGTGAGGAGTTTGGGGGCACCCTTCCGGAAAATAGAGCTAAGCTCTATTTGGATATGATTGAATGTGTCTTGAGGAGATATAGAATAAAGACAGAACTACCTGATACGAAAGAAGATCTTACAAACCTGTACAAATCGCAATTGAAAACCCTTGGATTGATAGCGCGAAATGGTTTGATTGATGAGAAGTTAGATTTTGAGGAGGATGAATTGGGAAAGCTTGCAAGTGGCTTGGCTGCATTCGGATTTCTGTCGGTTCATCTCGGAGCTAGTAAACTAAGGCCGAGTCTGCATTATGCATTTCTACACAAAAGCTTTCAAGAATGCTTTGCAGCATTCTATGTCTGTTGTGAGATTCAAGATAAACAGATAACACCTGAAGAATTAGTTTCCGATACAAGATATTTCATAGAGCTGAAACAGGTGCTATTGTTTTCATGCGGCATTTTAGCAGAATGGTCCGATCAACAAGCTGCAGCTCTTGTCACCAGTATGGCGGATCGGGTTGGCATTCTCCACCACCACATCAGTTGGCATGTTAGAGTTTCATTAGAGGCCATTAATGAATGTAAAAGAAAGAAAGATGATTTTCACCTGAAGTTAGCAAGATGTTTTGGTTACAATATGACTAAAAGAATGCTCAATTTCAAGAGAAGGTCCTTAAGTAAAGAATTGACAATAATTCTATCCGAGGCAATCAAAGTCAACAAAACCTTGACCTATTTGGGTTTGTGTTCTAATCGCATCGGTGATGCCGATGCAACATCTATTGCTGAGGCAATCAAAGTCAACAAGACTCTGACCAGTTTGAATTTGTCTCACAATCAGATTAGTGATTCCGGTGCAACATCTATTGCTGAGGCAATCAAAGTCAACAAGACTCTGACCAATTTG